CTGATTTGTGGAGGGAAGGATAAAGGCAGGGTAAATGCAGAGTAGTATTTCCCCATAATACTCCCCAAGCCATGGACAGTTTGTCGCTCTCAGATTGTGCATCAGAGGTGGTAACTTCATAGTGTACAGGCTGTGAGACCCTTTGGAGTCGCACCACGGGAGTTAATTAGCTCCCCAGGATGGTGTGGAGCGGGACCATAGCGCTTCTCCTTCTGGACGCTCATACAGTTTGCAGTGCTCCAGAACACGACAGGACAGAACTATCCTCCTATTCCTTTTGTTCTCTTCTGCCCATATAAAGGATGGGTTTAATTTAGTCATTAKTCTGTTTCCTTTTGTAGCCCACAGGAATTCCAACGGGAAGCTTTGCTATTCCTGAGGGATCCTGTTGTCTTTTGTGCTGGCTTGGGAAAATGCCCTTATTTGAATAAAATGCCATTATTTAAATAGACTAATCTTGTTTGAAATATATTTATATAAATATATGTATGTATATTCACACATAGTCCAAAAATGTGTAATATAACTATATGTAATTGCACATATATATGCAACAATGTATGTGGTATGTGTTTGAAGACTGCAGTTCCTGGAAGAGCTTTCCAGGATGCTTTTGTAGGGTACAAGTCCGGCTTCCTGCTTTGGTTGTCCCACAAACTAGGTACTCTGTGCAGCCCTTTTTATGGAACTAACATTTTGGGTAACACTTTGTTGGTGTGACATGCTTCTAATGAGAACTTAACTGTTACTGTAACCCACTGCATATTTCCAATTGCTAGGAACCCTCCAGACGTGTCTGCTCAGTTCACATGAAATACTAAATTTATAATATTCAGCGGAGGTCACCGACAAATCAGAATTAAACCAATGATTCCATCACAATCGGACACATCAGAACTATAAGGCCAAACTGTGTATTTCTCAAGTATCCTCTTTGAACACCACACCTGGAAGTAGTAAGTCTGTGTTCAAGGTGATGTTAAGGTTCTTGAGTGGAGAAGCATGTTAAACATTTCCACATGTTCTCAGGGTTTTATTCCATTAATTTCGTGGAGTTTTAAAAAGTGAGTACTATGCAAGTGGTTTCCATTCTCTTTTGGAAATACTGTTTTCTGTAAAATACTGTATTGTGATGATCTAAGTCACTGTTATTTCAGGATAAGACTAGTAATGCCATGTCGCTTGAGGCTAAACTCAACAATTTGGAACTGAAGTCAGGACAGAATCTGCATGTTGGCTTACAAAGCACTGTACTGTGCTGCTAGCTCTGCTCTGCAGAGGTCCTTTATGCTGGTGGGACTGTGGAAAGTTTGGGTTTGAAATTATAATATCCTAAGTAGTTTTCAACAACTTTATGGATAAGGTATTGTGATGACTTARATCTTCAGAGTGCTTGCTCCTTAGCTCCCAGTGGTTCCAGTGGGAAGGAGCTGTTGGCAGAGTTTGTCAGAAATGCCTCATGTCTCTCAGGCATGCTTTTCTTAAGRCTGCTGCCTTCTGCAGTGCTTGTTAATCTCTGAATAAATAGCAAAGTTTACCACTTTTCTTGTGTTCTTGGGAAGTGACTGTGYGAACAGACATACTTTCCAAAGCATTCCAAAGCATTTAGATGCCTCAGTTAATTACTATTACAATTTTTTKTTGTTGTTTGAAATTGGATGGAATTTTTGAACAAAGTGTAGTTTCCTTTGAGAAACTTTTTCTTTTTTTTTTCTTTCCAGAAGAAAAATTATAGAGGAGAAAGGAAGGAAAAACGATCCTCTGTAAAGGAACAATCCTGAATTGAAGTTGGGGGTTGTAAAGGGTTTTGACCTGCTTGCTTTGCTGCCATGGCTTGTTCTGGTCACTGTAAGCTTCATTTCTGAGGAGGATGAGGTCTTCCAGCTACATAAGGGAACGGGAGTGCAACAAACCACTTTGTTTTTTATTAAGCTCTATATTTTTAGGTTACTGCCTTATGCTGCATGCTGTTGCTTACAGTTGTGAAAGTTGACATATTTTATTTCAAACAGATTGTTTAGAATTGAAGCAAATGATTATTATGTGGTGGACATGCGTCCTACAGAGGCTGCTACCTGCAGGATCTGTAGAGCAGCAATGTTGAGGTGCTGCTAAGTKGTGCTTCCAAAAATGTGTTTGATCAGGGAGACCACCCAGGTGAGAGATGGATAAAGCCCTATCAAAGTTTATTTTATTAAAATATCCCTCTCTGAGGCTGATCTACAAGTAGCAGATACCGTTCAAGATGTCAACTGGGCCACATTAAATGCTGCTGCCTGTCCTACCTTTGGTGGCCATGGGGAGTGCTAAGAATACAAGCTTATTTAGCTTGGTGGTTGCTCTTTAACTTGCCAGAGGATTATGGAGAAAACTGTTGAGGAGAGTCAGCAGTGACCAGAAACAGAGTATGCAGCTTGGGCTGTGCAGCCAGTTTGTTGCCCCATGGCTAAGTGCCCTAGAGAAAGAGGAGAGTATGCTATATACTATGTATACATAGGCAACAAGGTTGTAATGTATCAAGTGTTTGCTCTTGTTTATATGGTCTCATTTTGTGTCTTGCTTTCTTTAACTATGCCAGGAYGCTTCAGGGTGGGTGGGACCCTGTGTCGGATGTGCTTCACCTCTGCTGTGGGCTAGTGCAATTGGATTTCTTACTCCTGCAGCCTSCTCTGTGGTGTGTTGTGATGTTCTTCAGGCTACATCTTTAAACAGGGAAGAAAATGCCATCTTTATATTATTTGGGAAGTTAATTTCGCTTCGTTGTGCTAATTGCTGTTACATGCTTCCAGAGCAGCACAGATTTGTGTCCAGAGGGTTCCTGGTGCCAGCAGAGCGGGACTGGGGCTTCCCGGTTTGTGCTGTGTCCACGTGCGCTGCGTGTCACTCTGTGAGGCACTCCACACCAAACTCGTGAGCATACCTGAAAGGCAAAATTATAAAGCATGTGTAACAGTGAATAAATGGAGCATATCTTTTGCTTTCCTTTAAGTCCTTTAGCTCTGCTTTTTATGTTCTTTTCTCTCTCAGTTGACATTCTGAGGCTATAAATTGTAACTGCTCTTGTCGACGTTATTGGTGACCAGGGACGTAATGTTTCTATGATGAACTAATCTTGGAGAAGGTTTTTGGAGCCAGGTCTGGGGAGAGGGGACATCTCAGGTCTCTCTCTTATGCAGTTAGGTCTTTGTTTTCAGCCTACTCATGGGAGTTTAAATCTGGCCTGGAAAGGAAATGTGCCCAATTAAGGACCAGATTGGAAATGTGGATCTCGCTCTGTGCTTCATTTCCCCAGAATGCAGTGGAGTAAAATTTGTTGAAGGGACTATAGATCAGGAAGGTTGTGGGAGTAATTTGGAATTTGGTCCCTTGTAAGGGGGGAAAAATCCCTTACCTATGTGCCTAAAGCCATGATTGTTTAGAAAGTCACATTAACATGTACTTAAATTTAAGTTTATRCATGTGCCCCACTAAGCATGTGCTACACAGCCTTTCTGGACAGGAAGGCTTTTCTGAACAGGAATTAAAGTGTAGTAGTCATGGGATAAAAACTGCTATAAAACAAAAACTAGTGCTGGCTGTCCTCGGTGCATTTAAATCTTCTCGTTTTACTGTTTTTCCATCTTCAACACTGTACAGTCAACCTTTTTTATATATATATATATATAAATGGTTAAACTTAAATATAGAGCAGTTCTTTAATAGGTGTTATGTTTCATGAAACATCTGTTCTAAATAAAGGCAGCTGTTTCCAGACTATGTGAAAATTCAAATAACTTCTCCCAATGAATGCCCAAAATAGTGATCCAAGTACTTATACATTTTGAAAGCTGTAAGAGCAAACCTGCAATCCCAAATGTCTTGCTATTTTTATGTCCTTTACAGTACATAGGAGACAAGAAAATATATCTTGTGTGTATATTTCAATGGATGCTTAAATCTTAGCTTCAGCTTGACTCTGCAAATTGCTAGCAGTTCTCTGAAACAGTTTATTTTTACATGTCTTTAATTATTCCTCACTCATAGAGACTTAAAAAGGCAACAAAAAAGAGGAATTTAAGTAAACAACTGCATCAAATACACATGTGATTTGCATGCACAAATAGGAAGTTGGCCTGTCTATGGGGTTTGGTGGCACTTCATTGGGGTTTAAATCCATAAGACCTGGCCTTGGTCCCCTTAATATAAAAAGCTTCAATGAGGTAAGTCTGTAATGAAGTAAGGCATGTAGTGGCAAGTAAATGTAACCTCAGTAGAGAGCTCTACTAGCTCGTCTTATGCTCTTTGAGGAAGGAACATGGAAAAACATGWGTTTTCCCTCTGAGCTTGGCTGAATGCGCTACAAGACGTTTTGCCTTTGCTCTTCCCTTCAAAATAACCCCCCCAAACTCCCGTAAGTACAATTCCCTCCCCATCTTTGCATCCTGTTTCCTGCTGATGGTCTGTACGGTGCTCAGGAGAGTCCACTCATGGGATCACCATTAATCAYACAATTGTCAGAAAACCCAGCAGGGTTATGCTGCTGTTCTGTGTTGGGATCCATCAGTGAGGACTCTGAGAGGCTCAATCCTAGAATTACTGCTTCTAGAGAAATTTTGATGCTTCACACTCTGCCTGTGGATCTCACCATGTCTTTCTRAAGCAAGAGACACATAAATAAAATGTTGCTGCTGCTGTCCCCCTAGGAGGGCAGATACCCCAAGGAGTCCTCCCATTTGCTAGTGTTGCTTCCGAAATGGCTTCTTTTTTCCTTCTCGAATGCCTCATACCTGTAGGTGGTGGTTTTACCTGAAGAGATGTGTAGAGGAGTAGCAATGTAGAGCTGTAACTTGTTTTTTGTTTACTTGACACTTTAACATTTAAAACTTGTTTAGTTTAACATTTAAAGACATGATGTGATGCAGACCGCTGTGGTACAGAAACATTATCACTTTGCAAAATGAGCATTAACATTGATGTTGTAGCATTTCTACTCTGAGTAGAGCTCTAATCTTTCCTTTTAGATAAGAAGTATTAAACTGATCGGCATACCTGACTGTCATGACTATGGTACAGAAAAGTTGCCTACTGCTGTAGTTGTGTTGCCAYGCTCAGATCTCATCTGCTTCCACTGACTGTTTCCTTCCTGTCTTCAGCATCCCACAATCTCAAGGTAGGAAAACTGTATGCTGCCATGCCTACCCAGAGCCTGACAGAGTATTGCTCAATCAGGATTTTGTCACAYTGCCACTGTTAATTCTTGGTTTTGTTCCTTCCTCCTCACTCTTTCTGGTTAGAGTGCCTTTGCCATGTGTGTTACTCTCCTCTCAGATGTGTCTGGCTTCAGCACCAGATACAATCATGACGCAAGCTGGAATCCTTGAAAAATACTGAAAGAGATTCCCTTTTTTTGAAGGCATTGGAGGATATATGCTGAAAGGACTGTATTTGTATTAGCCTGTTTAAGCTAGCCTGTCAGTCATCTAATCAACTTCAGTTTTGGTTGCTTGGGCCTGTGGACTTGCCTACCTTGCTTGGCTCCAGAACCTGCCTTGCATGGTGCTTGAAAATGMTTCTTTCCCCAGAGAAAATTGCAATTTAGAAAGTTTGGATTAAGCTCCGGTGCTGTTAGAACTTTCTTCCTTAAGTGTCTCATGTTAGAAGTTGACTATTAGATTTTGGTTGCTACATCTGTCCACCATTGTCAAGAATAAAAAGACACTCTCACCTAGTGACAGATCCTTATTTTCTCCTTGCATGAAAAAGCACCCCCTGCAACTACTGTGCAGATGCCCTCTTATCTCCCCACTTCACAAGCACTGTTTCCAAGTTGTAACCTTGCAAAGAGAACCAAGAGCATGAAGAACAGACAGTGCCAGGAATGTTCACTGTGATTGTATTATTTGCAAATTTGGAGGACTTTTTTCACTCCTCCTTTTCATTATTCAAACTGTTCTTTCTTTGCTGAATGAGCTACATTTTAGCACATCTAAAAATAATTTGCAGAATTTATGTTTCAGGAGGATGAATACTTACTGCAAGGTAATCTTTCATGGAAGCACTTACATATCTCACTGTATGACTCAGAATAGGGTTCAAACAAACTCTCATAAACAAGATTTATTTTACCATTTAACTGCAATAAAGTTGTGCCTTGAATCCTACTGTCTGTAAGTCATACACAAAGAAAATGGATACACGCATTAATCTTTAATATTAAATCACTGTCTCTAGTGTAAGAGACTTCTCACATTTAAAATGGTGCATTTTTTTCAATTTCAGAGTGGATTGTTTTTCTCTGGTAAAGAGAAACAGGAGTTTTAATCTATTTTTTTCTCAATCTGAAACTTCCACTGTTAGCACAAGATGGAGAACTTCCAGGATCTGTTTCTCCTTAGCCTTAGAGTAATTTACATACTTGTAGCTCCACTTCTGAATGCAATGTTAACACAATTGCATTCAAATATGGTATTCAAATATCCTGTATTTCATAGAGGGTTTGAACTTGCTGATGAAATACTTCCAAAGAAATAAAATAGGAAATCAAATTGTTTCGACTCCTCAGTTGTTTCATAAWACGAATTTTATTTCTGAGCAGTTTTAGCAATTCTTTGTATGCATAAACTTGATTTTGAGCTTGTGGTGTCTTTGTTGGCCTCCTGGGTTATATACGCTTCCCAGGTTTTCATTGAAAGGTTTTCTTGAAACTCTACCACAGCATTTGTGCTCTCCTTCAACRTGGAAAGCATTTGAAGCCTCTTAAATGTTGTGCTAGCCATCAGGTGGAGATGAGTTCATGGTCTGTATTTTGCAACTCYGAGAATAAGGTTTCTCTTGAACCAAGGGCAAACCCATTTAAGTCAAYCAAAACACTGAGCTGCCAATGGCTGGGAATGAAGGGTGTGGGTTTAACTGAATCCTTTTTAAAGATTTTATCATCAAATGTGGGGAAACTTGGGAAGTTTTGCTGCACTCAAGTATGGCTTTACTTATCTCTGCTGTAGAAGAACTGGTTATACACAGTAAAGGACTTAGAAGAATTTGTTACCAGTGAAACCCAAACAAGAACAACAAAATCAGTTCCTTGGTGCTTAAATGATGCCAAGTTTGGTTTCTAACTAGTCCTTAGAATATTTTGCTTGAAGGCTGAGCATTGCGCTGCTTTAGCACTTCAGCACTGTCACCTTTCCTTGACTGCCCTTAGTGCAGTTGTACAACCAGAAAGCCCAGCCAATAGAGCAGACTAAATAAAGGGYCTGTCAAGAAGCATTCTGGTTTAAAACTAATATTTTTCAAGCATAGCATTAACTGTTAATAACTGCTCAAAGTTTGTGAGTTAGCGTTTTATTTAATAGACCAAGTTACTATTTGTTCATGAATTCTTAMACCGCTGTCCTCCCCTCTTCTGCCACTGACCACCTTTTATCGGTTAGGGAATCTCTGGGTAATGATTGATTAATTAGAAGGATGGAGGGGAGGTGTGGGGCTGTGTGTGTCTGGCAGGAGGTCAAGGCTCAGGGTACCTSCCAGTTGATGAGAAAAACCTCCAGCATCTGAGGCAGAATCTGCCTTCACAGTAACCTAAACCCATTTTGTCTGGGTGCAGGGGAGCCCTGCCAAGGACGGCTGTGTGTATACTCSGCTCAAGGCCTCTGTGTTTGACTTGAAAAATGTTATCTTCTGCTCAGTGTATGAATTCTAGCTAAGGTGCAATTGGATCATGGACARTCATTGACAGTGTCCACATTATTCGTGACCAAGTTGCCCAAATGCCAAGGTGATGTTACAAGAGAGAGAAAAGATCTGAGTTRTGAGCTGGTGAGTAGCGTGTGTCCTTTTCGTTCATTAAATAGCGAGAGTATTTGTGACTGACTTAAATGGCCATTCTTTTGGGTAAAAATGAGGGGCTTCTATTCCCCTTGCAGTGATGCTCTGAAACAGAATATTTGTTGTTTCTATGTTTTCTATGTTTCTTGTTTCTATGTTGCTTGGTCTTGCATTAGGTATGTGCTTTGACCACCGTAAGTTTTTTTCCATGCRTTTATTCCAGATCTCAAGAAAATGCTTTCTTTCTATTCAAGAAACTTCATTAATAATGAAGTAACAACAGAGTTGTTGATTCTTTCAAAGACAGATTTCTTTTTCACTTCAATATCTGTTCTCATCTAGTTTAAAATGTAAAGCAGTTTATCATGGAATTCTTCGCAATTTAGAAAGGGGAAACATGTCAAATAATAGAGCAACACTTCCCAACTGCTTATCTGGCAGACTAAAGAACCCTGATATTTAACTTGAATCAACTGTTTAAATGAGCAATTTAATGACAGTCATTATTTGTGTGAGATTTGCTTATGTAGCAACTTGAGTATATATACAAAGAATGGAAGCTTGATGAAACAAGCGTTAAGAAATGCATGCAAGCAAAATTAGATGTGTGCCAGACCATCTTGCTTCACATTTTTACATGATATGAAGAACTTTTTTGTTTTGTTTTCCATAAATGGAAAAGCCTGGATCACTGAATAGAGAAGTTAGAATCCCTCTGAATTTTAATTGGGTGGGCTGATTGCTCTAGGAAAAATGAGAAGCCATCTGACTGTGCCCCTGAGAACATTGAAAGAATCTACTTTTCACTAGCAAAAAGYTTTTCTGTTTGCAAGGGGAAGAAAAAATAAGTTTCAGAAAATACATTTCCTTGTTTCTGCTTAGTGGAAAAACAGCCCTTAGCTGTGGGGCTTTCAAGATCATAACTTTTCTTTGTTGTACRGGATGCGATTCATCCCCTCTCTGCTGTCTGCAGATTACATGCTTGTATCTAACAGACACTAATACATCTGAATTGTGATGAATTCACAGTCATCCCTTTGGATTCATTTGGATGAGAATGCATTCTCAAACCTTGGGATGAGAAATGCTGCTCCAAATTAGTGCCTAGTTATGTCTAAGGAAATCCTTGGGAAAGTATCTCAGATCTAGATATCTGCTGTTTGGAAATGTCTGTTTCTGATCTTGTATATCCTCCTGTGTGGGCCCCATTAGTGGGAAAAACCTTCTGGGACTTTCTGCATTTTTAGGCTAAAAAGTGGCTAGGGACACAATTATCATTTTTATTTCTCATAGCTTATATGTATTAGGAATTTGGTCCTTGTTTGCTTCATTTATTCTAGCTCATACAGTCTTTGAAATCACTGTTTCTTGGAGGTTTGGGGTAGAAGTGAAAATTAGGCAGTAGGCAGATGCTGCCCCAATTCTTCCATCTTTGTATTGTCCTGGAAAGAAGCTCTGACCTGTTTCATTTGTGGGGCCATTTGCATTTATCCTTTGGCAGGAAGAGATTAGTGGAGTTGCTTCGTTCAGCATAACTTGGTGTCTGAACAGCCTTTAGAGAGATGCGTTTCTGTCTTGATCGTTGCACTGCCCTTGCCCTTGTGAAGGTGTGCAGCGTGCAAGGAAGAAAGCTGAGCGTGTAGGAGCCTGTGCAGTGCTTTCTCATGAGAACTGATAAATGCATATGCGTTTAGGAGGATATTTTCTTAGAAGTTTGCCTGTTAGAGCATTCTTGTCTTCTCTTTGTATATGTTTTCTGTTATTTGTCAAGAAAAAATGCTTGTGTATGTAGTGGGTTTTGCAATAAAGTAATAAATGGCTATAGTAATGCACGCAGAAGTAATCCTGTGTGATCTCTGTAGAATATCATTTGTAGTGTGCTGAGGAATACTTTTAAATAAACTTAATGAGGAATGTAAAAGTCAAACCTTCTATCAGAAAAATTAGCATTAATGCTTGTTTTCATTCAAGGTTATCTTAGTATAGAATAGCAAAAATATGTTATTCCTGGGAAACATAATGTAGATAGATGTACATACRTATGCATTTATCCATCTCTGCAAGCACAGAAGCGTGTTTTATTGCAGCTTTAAAGGAAACAAATTGTACTGTTGTCTTAATAGATAATGTGCACATATCAGCAGCATACTGTGTAGCCCTCAGGCTTGGACTTGTGCTGTAGCTCACACATGACCTTGCAGAGGCAGTTGCATTCACTGAAGATGTTTCTGCATTAGCTACCTCTCACTTGCCCCCTCTTTTCCTGCCCTGAGGCTTTTGCTGGATGAGGTGGTTTGTGGTGCCGGGCTGCTGAGCAGTGGCTACACGGTGCTGTATTGCAGAGGCGGATCCAGGGGCGGATTTCCAGGGAGCAGCTTAGGCAGGAGCAGCCAAAGCACAGCGGTCTGCAATGCCTCATTAGCCTGAGCACCCTTCTGTACGTGGCTCTCAAATAGCAAGGTGTGGAAACATGTTCCGAGTAAATACATATACGAGTATGTATAGGCGTGGAAAAAATAGAGCTACGTTATTGATGGAGAGTCTTAAAAGCTTGCGGAGAGCTGAATTCTGCTGATGGAAATTGTGGTATTTGAAGCGGTGAGCAAACATGGGGCCGCACAAACACGTTTAGGGGCTTAATTACAACTCTTCACAATTTGTTTTGAAAGTATTATTAACATGCCTTGCTATTACTCAGCTTATGTTTGTTTTACAGAACAAACAACGTGTCGATTTGCAAAAGTATGAATCTCTGCCACAAAAATGCCTGTAATGGGCCCTGGAATCCTTTGTTCTTGCAGATTGTAACTTGGTTGGAAATCAGATTAGGCAATGGACTTGCGTGGAGTCGCATCCCTCGCGTTTGGGAGCGGGCAGAGAAAAGGGATGAGCGCATTCCGGGTTCGTTCCACGGCTCGATCRATTATGAAACGGAGCCGCGTCGCTGGGGCGGCTTTGACTCAAGGCCACATTCTTATCCTCCCACGCTAATAGGTCTGATACAGGAGATTAACTGGAATAAAGCATCTCCAGTTTCAAGGCCCTACTCTCTGCAAAGATTGTTCATCTTCAGCATCCGTGATAGCCATCAAAAATGTTTGAACCCTAAGTTATTTGGAGAGATTATTTTTGTTT